AATCAATGTGGATCCAGGAGCGGAGAGAGCGCGGATCTCATGGGAAGAAGCCAACCTTCACCTCACACTGCCCGGTGCCCCTCTTTTCTGAGGCACCCTTCCTGAGCACACCGCACGAGCTCCATACGCCTCCCCGAGCCCTGGGCAGCCCCCAGCTCCCCGTCCATCACATACACCCCCCCATGCAGAACTTCTACCCGCGGCACCATCCCCAGCACCATCCGTGACTGCAGACCTGGGCTGCGGCACGCGCCAGCATCTCCTCCAGGTGACATTTGGCTGGGTCTGGCCCCCGAGCCATCCAGCCTCTCAGACAGCTAATGTGTGTGTTTCTGAATTATTAAATGTATTCGGGAGCCCTGACAAGGTAGATATACAGTGATGATGACAAAAAGCATTTCTAAAAGAGCTGCAGCAGCCGGGAGGCACGGCTGAGCTGCCTCTCACTGATCGCACCCCACGCAGCCCTTTTGTGGACGTCAGCTCAGACCCTCTGCCATCAACCAGGGCTACTTCTCAGAAAGGAGAGGGACTTATCTCTCCATTTTTCAGTCGCCAAGGTGAGAGCTTAACCTCCAGCTTCGGAAAGAAGGTGGCTGCCTGCTGGGGTGTGCCTGGGATGCTCCCGCGGGATGCGCCCCGGGTGGGACACAAACAGAAGGAACCTCTCCCATGCAGCACTCAACTCCTCCAAGCTGGCGCGGCAGTGCTGGACAACCTCTCTATAAGCAGAGACTCAGCTCCTGCACGTTAGCACGGCAGCATGAGGCTGACCCTGCAGCGCGGTCCCATCCTGCCCGCTTGCAGGGAGCATCCTGAGCGGCCGGAGCTGGGAGGCAGGGAGCATTCCTCTCCTTCATCAGAGCACACGGGGGTGGGAAGCATGGTTGGTCTTTGTGTACCCCAGCTACGTCCTGAAGCACACGTGAAGCATCTGTGGGGCCGCAGTCGGGGTTTCGGTACAGCACTGAGCACAACCACCCTTCAGCCACACACAAACAAGCACCATCACTACATCCCAGTGCTGCTTCTCCTTCCTTGTTAAAAAGTACCGATGCATACGCTAAGAATTCCTTTTTCTTTTTTCATTTTTAAATGCAGTCCCAAAACGCCACCCGTGAGAAGACAAAAGCACTCTTCCAAAAATCCCATCACACTGCTCCTGCTGACACCACGGACCCGTGCATGCACAGCAAGGTGTGCCCAGGCTGACCACTCGATATCTGAACACCGCGTCTCCAGATGGAGGTTACACTGATTCAGTTCTGATAAGCAACTGATCATGGCGAAATGATGCCTCCTATCCTAAAGCCACAGCCCGAAAAATGTCATGCTGCTTCCTTACACTATTTTGCTGTCATTTGCTCACGGGCACGCAAAAAGTTATTCTAAAAAAAAAAGAAAAAAAAAAAGAAAAAAAAAACTCAACTTCAAAACCGAGCGGAATTTGTGATTCCCTCATTTAGGGTGCATTAATTTGTAATCGCTGTTATTCTAATGCAGGACAAGCCTTAATCAAACTAATGGCGAAATTAAAAGCAAGTCTTTAAATCCTTTAAACTGACTTAGCCGTGCGCAGCGGTGTCTGTGCTGGAAGGATTTTCTGTGCTACAGGAGAGGCCCATCAGCCCAATTCGGGCACTCTAATGCTGCTCCCACCCACACAGCGCTCAAACACACACAGAGTGGGCAATCTACAGCAGATGCTAGAAAACTTAGGTAAAATGCAAGACTTAAAATAGAAGAAGCAAGAATTGAGCCCGATCGGGAAGATGTGGGCTTTGATTAACAGTTCAAAAACCGAAATATGCCAAATGTGACAGACCGAGCAAATTCCCCAGCGCCGCAATTGCTGCAAATCTGCTTCAAAACCCACCCTGCAAATCCAGCAGCACGATGGCCGCGCTCGGCGATCACAAACGTGGCACGCACTGAGCTCATGGCTAATGCCTGCGCCGTGGAAGCCGAACTATGCCGAAAATTTTAGGAAAGTTCATTTCATTTTAGCAACTGCCCTAACAACAACAACAACAACAACACAAACAGCAAACCTCGCTTCCTTCTACGGGGTGAGCGTTGCTCAGCTGAAGTCGCAGGTATTAACAAACACCATATAAATCTGAGCTAACTCCAGGGGAGCTTTCTCCAAAATCAGTGCAGCCCTCAGCAACTCCCCTGGTCAGGTCAGAGTCCCTCAGCCAGCATGGCTGAATTGTTTTAGTGCTCTCTGCTGAACACCTGCAAACATCAAACAAAAACTCCTGGTCCTTTGCTGGGTTGACAAAAGCCTTTCATGTGAAAAATGCTCCATGGGAATGTCACGGCTGTGGCTCAGGTTACATTCCTTTCTCCCGCGCAGCCCTCACCATTTCTCAACATGGTAAGAAGCCATATTTGTGAAATTAAAGATTAAAAGGAAACGTGGCTGTACTTTATTTCCATTCACACGTTACAAATCACAATGGAGCATCATATACGAGAAGTGTAAAAAAGCCATCAGGATGACTTTAAGCATGAAATACTACCACGCTTCCTAAACTACAGTTAGTTTCACTTCGCTGCTTGGGATTACTTTTCTTTGGGCCCTTTTTTTATTTTTTAGTAAGCGAAGTTTCAGCTTCATGCAGAGGAATGACACCCGTGGTTCCCCCTCGCAGCAAACGTGGCCGTTCGCAGAGGACCGCTATGGGAAGCTGAGGCTGCAGGAGGCCATCAGCCCAGCAGGAGGGACGCGCTGCACGCCGGCTGCTGGACCTCGGCGCTAGCAGGACGCAGATCCAGCACAACAACCTGCGTGCACGCATTGTGAAGCCCCCTGTAAAGCTTCCCCGCAGCTCCACAGAACACAGCCGGGTGTCCGCACGCAACCCCGCATTTCCCCAGCACGGCTCGCTGCAGGAGGCGGTCGGAGCACTTCCCAGCAGTGAGCCGAGCACCCAGACAGCTGCCAGCACAGCACACAGCCCTGCGGCCGCAGCCAGCGCCCATACAGACGTGCATTCTCACAACTTTTTGGACACCGCTGCTCGCTCGCTACACCTCTCCACGTCTCACACCAAGCAGAAGAGGTTTGGGAAGTAAATCCACGCCGATCTTCCCTTCCAAGAGCGTACCCTGCGCCGCACATCTTTGTGCAAGCAGTGTGCCAACACACAGAACGTGTCTGTACTGAGCCACCGAGCGGGGCACCCGCCCTGTGCCACCGGGCTGCTTGTGCACACACACAGCAGGATGCTGTGGGAGATCCCAGGCGCTGCCCAGGATGGGCCCTGCCTTAACCTTACCTACCTAACACATCATTTGTATCCGTTAAAGGATGTGCCAAGGTTACCTGAATGTTTTCAGGCTCAGAGACAACAAAAGCAGCAGCAGCCCTCCGCTTCCCTCACTGCTCAGATTCGCTCTGCTGTGTTATTTCTGATCGGAATGCCCTCCCAGATGAGGTTTGCGGTGCATTTATTCAATAGAGCTGCCCAGTTAATTGCTGGTAGACCAAGTGTCGTCGCTGCACTGGCCGCTACCTACGTAAGCATGGCAAATTGATTTGTCTGGCACAAATACTTTTTGCTTCCCTCCAATGGAAACAAATAAAGGGAATATTATATATTTGCTTAAATCGGGTTTTAAACTACATTGAAATTCAGAAAGTGACAAAAAATGGGATTAAAACGTTCAGCCTGGGTAACGTGAGGCAAAACGCCTTTGGAAAGTTATTCAAACCTAACAATGTAATTCTCAAAGTCACTACGCTGGTAACAGAACCGAATCTGCAAAAATAAAGGATGGCATTTTGCAAGTCTGAGCAGAGTAAAACGCGTAAAACGAATCCTTAATAATTGTAGGTGGCACTCGGTGCAGCATCCTACAAACGCACGCTGCAGACTCCTGTCAAATTTCAAAGTCTTTCTTCGGAAATAAAAAGTTAATTAACATCTCGGCGCCTCTCCTAACAACGGTTCTGAGCAGCGCACCGAAGAGGTTCCTTTAACTGAGCGCCAACTGCCAACGCCAGGCACGGAACTGCACACAGTGACGTGTTCCTATCTGGGTACCCACGGGCGCTCTGCGGCGGGTCTCATCCAAACGCACCGTCTGATGAGAGCAGCTCCGCTCCACCCGGCTCCCAGCCGCTCCGTGCGGCCGTCCTGCAGCTCCCAGCGGGGCCGGGGCTGCGTCCTGCACTGAGCACTGCACGCACCTCGCCCAGCTCCACAGCACAGCCAGGAGATTCCCAGCGCCTCGCTGCCTTTGCTAGTTTTACCTCTCATTTCTCAGGCGTATAAAAGCCTCCGCGTAAAGCTACACTCGCCAGACAATTATTGCACACATATGTTCCGCCGCAACCAACTCCGCTATTTCTTTTGTCATCCAGCAGTACTCCTGCTTTACAGAAGGCAGAAGTTGCCCACAGAGCCCGGCTGCAGCCAAACAAACGCACGCACAAACAAACCCTGGGCAGCGTCAGGGGCTCGCCAGAAGCGGGCGGATATTTGGAAAGAAAATGCCCTACTTTCCATCTTTCAATTCAGCAAAAAAAAAAAAAATCACCCTCCTCCGATGCGAGGAGCGCCGCCGCACCTTGAGAGCTCGGTGCCTGGGCTCGGCTGCGTGCTCCATTCATTATTTAATCCCAGCAGCCTTCCTTATTTACCGAATTAATTCCCGTGCAAGATGCTTTGATTCTCGCTTCTCAAGTATAAAATTGTGTATAAAAACCCTGGAGGCTGAATTAAAAAAATAATGACAGAAAACTTAAACTGCCTCACCTTGAACAACGACACAGACCAGGGATTTTAAAAAAATCATAAATCAATGCAAATGCTGCGAGAATGACTTGTGGAAATAGCAATAATAATACTGAGAGGAACAGTAGGAAGAATTCCACTCCGGTCGGAATGGATGTGCGCCCCAGAAGAGATTACCACAACCACAACAAAGGTAATGCCTATGGATAAATAACAGAGCATCGCAGCCGCGCGCTGAACAAAGCGGGTACGTACTTGAGCCAGTAAAATGTCCACTCGCCAAGGAAGTTGGTCCATTTTTGCCACTGCTCACGGGAGGTGAAAACATCTAAAAAAAAAAAAAAAAAAAAAAAAGAAAACGACAAAAAAGCAACACAGAGACGTTACTACGGGAAAAGCACTGTCAGCCAAAGTTCCTCCGCTGCAAACTCTGCCCAGCCCTGGGGACAGCCCCGGCACGGAGCCCCCCGGCTCCGCACCCCCAGCAGCACCCCGGGAAACGCAGCGCAGCCCCGCGCCCGGATCGCTCCCCCCAATCCTCGCTGGTTGAGGAAGGCGAAAAAAAGTTTGTTGGGCAAAACCTTGGCCATAAAGGTAGCAGCGTCCATCCGCAGCCCGCTCTAGGGTTCTCCTGTCATCCGTGTGCCCAGATAATGACCGTGCAAAGTGCCACCTGCCCTAAATCCTCATTCCGTCTCTAAGAGGAGCGCAGTCTGAGCGCGCCGCTCCCTCTCCCTCTCTCTCTCACCCTCTCTCTCGCTTGCATTTATTTCGACCCTAATTGGTTTCTCTCTTCCTCGACGTGTCTGGCGGGTAACACGCACCTTCCCTGAGTCAGAGCCTGCAAAAAGCCAGGGAACAAATGGAAAAAGTGCACCGAGCGACGAGGGGGCTGCCGGGCTGCCTGAGGCTGCGCTTCCCGGCCCAACTTCCCAAAGCCATTCCTCCGGAGCGCAGCGCGGAGCGGCGGCCGCAGCCCCGGCCGGGAGGAGCCGCGCTCAGCTCAGCGCCACGCGCGCATCCCGCGGCCAACCCGCGGCCCCTGCGGGAAGGGGCGAGCGCTGGAAGGGAGGGACGGGCGGTGGGGGAAGGAAGAAGGGCCGGGGGGGGGCTCGCGGGGCCGCGCAGGAGCCCCCGAGCTCGGGGAAAAGGTGCCGGGGAAAAACTTTCAGCGGAGGCAGTCGCGGATTTCCTCGCGCTTCCCACGTGCCGAAAATACCGAAGCCGGGGAAGAACCGAAAGCGGAATATCGGGATCTCATTAGGCAGCAATGAGTCCCCGCGACGTGCGATGGGAAGCGCTCGGCCGAGCGCCGGAGGTCGGCGCCGGGCGGCGGGGAGGAACGCTCCGCGATTTGGGGCGTCTCTTCTCGGTCGAAATCATTTTCGGCATCCGAGACGTTCCGAGCAGCCGCGCACACCGTCGCGCTTCCCATCGCAGACGAGAAAAACGCCTAATTCGGGTTTGGATTTTTTTTTTAAGCAGAAAGGTATTTACCGTGGCTGAAGCTGCCGATTAAAAATTACCCAATGCGCTCCGATCGCACTTCGGCTGGGTTTGGGTTGCCTTTTTTTTTTTTTTTTTTTTTTTTTTAGTTTAACAGATCAGCTAGAAGCTATTTTTTTTTTTTTTTTACAGCTGTTGTTAATTTCCACCGTTGTTTCTTACCGCACTGAAATCCAGTAAATCACTCAGTTCTTTGTCCGTCCCTAAGGCAGCCATTCGCTGTTGGTGATGCATTTTAGCAAAATCACACAAACCTAGAAACATGGAAACAACCGCAATCAGAAAGCCGGTCCCGAGCCCGCGGGAAGCAGCACAGTGGGGTCGGGAGGTCCGGATATGGGGGGAGGGGGGGGAGGGGGGGAGAGAAGGGAGGGAAAAAAGATGGAGGGGCAGCAAAGCAACAACAAAAAGCGGTGGTGCGGTTCCAGAGAGCCGGGCACATCCACTCAGAGCCACGGGAGAGGAGGAGAGGAGGCGGCTGCGTGCTGCCCGAGCATCGCTGTGCAACAGGAGGTTCCCCAGCAGCCCGCAGCGCAACTCCGGCCGCACGGCTCCAACTTTTTCCCCTTTTCTCCCTTCTTCCGCGCAAAAGCAGCGCCGAAAGGCGGGGAAGGAACGGAGCGAGCAAACAAGCCGGAAAAAAA